AAGCAAGTGAACAGAGATTCACTTTTGATTCCAGAAATGCAGCCACATGCCTGCAGTGGACTGGGCCAGAAGCCGAAGGGTGCTACAGCACACCTCCCTGCTCAGCTGGAGCAGACAGCTTGGGCCAAGGCTAGCCAGCGCCCCCCCACACACACACACACACCCTGGAAGGAGGGTGCAAAGCATCCTGAGATGCTGGAGCACTGCAAGTTAATGTGAATCTGAAGGGGGATATGACACAAATTCAATAAACCAATTTAACCTAAATCAGTTAAGTCTGATACTACATCCACCCAAGTTTATCTTAAACTGGTTTTGGCCATTTTGAAAGCAGTTTATGTACACTGAACTTCTGTTGTGTTACAGTTTTGAACGGGTTTCCAATCACTTATACTGGTTTATGTGTAATTTCTGTACCTAGCCAAGAAGTCTAACACAGACAACACCCAACAAAGAAAAAGAACTGCTGTGCGTGCAGAAGTGTTACTATTGCAAAATGTATTTTCTTCATACAAGGTTAAAAAACAGCAATTTGTGAATGTGAAACAGAAGTTCCTGTTTTTTAGGACTGTGCTACTTAGGGGAGTTAAGTAATGTGGCAAAGCCAAAATTAAAATCCAGGAGATGATTCATTTTTGCCAAAAGGACCCAAAGAACACTCAAATTCAAAAGAATGACTTAAACATTATTTCTAACAAAATATTGTGTGTGTAGCAAATTTATCAACATGGAGTATGTGTGTACAGCGTAAATAAAATTTGAATTTCATAGAATCATGAAGAATCATTAAATCATAGAGAAGTAGGGTTGGAAGGGACCTTCACATTTGATATAAACAAATTACAGCGAAGCAAAGAACCAATATATATGACCTTATGATTATTTTGAAGCATCAGGGGCCAAATTCTGACATCTTAATTTGCACTTGGATAAAGTTATCAGTACAGTAAAAGCGAGACATTTGGCCAAAGTAATAACTAGGTTTGATCAAACACGCAAAGCTAGCAATATTAAAATCATGATCTACTTACTTATACTATAGAAGCGGAGATTACTGGTAAGTATTAAAACACTGTACATCTACAGTTCTGGTGAAGCCTTTATCTCACAGTATGAAACAACAACACGGTTCAAGTAGGGCAGGGGTGGTGTGCCAGCCATGGTGGATCAGGAAGATATTTTCATGATATCTTTAGCACAAGGTTCTAGATATTAATGGTTAGGGACATAATCTGCTTCAAGACTCAGGAATTTTAGTTTTTTTCCTCCTTTTCCATCTTCATTATAGTTATTCAGCAGATCTCACAACTTATCCTAAATTTAACTATCTTAGCTGAAGTTTGAAAAAACAACATTAGATGGCAGTATACATCCACTGTTGCTTTCATGGAGCCATAGCTCAAGGCCAGAACATAAGTGACAGCACCTTTGGTTGAAATAGAGCCTCTGTTCTTTTAAAAGAAACAATATGCATTTTCAAGAAAATATCAAAATAAGATTCAATTGTATACTTATCAAAATAAAGTAAGGTCCAAGAGTTTCACCAAACTGAGGTTTCTAAAAGGCTGATCTGAGCAGTTGAGCTATTTGCTTTTTCCCCTCCACCTATCATACCAACTGGAAGGCTTACAAGTAAGAAATTTCCTGAACACTAATGAATTCATCAAATGTGTTCTTACAACTATCAACATAGGGAATTAATAAAAAGTGTTACAATTTTCTACTTTTAGCTTTAAAATTACCAAGGCACACTCCTTTCTCTTCTCACTTAAAACAGGCACACACTCTCCTTGAACCATCTACATTTACTGTTATAAAAGCAGTTCCTCTAATTTGAGGCTTTTAGAATGGAGAGCCCAAAGGTTTAGAGAGACGGCAACATGTTATCATATGAAAAAAAGTTAACTTTTGACAAAAGAATTCACTGCCTGGAAGAGAGAAAGATAGGAGCCTGACAATAGTAGCAGAGTTAGGGGTGGGCAAATGGGGCACTAACCCCAGGCAAGGATTGAGAGAGCAATTTCACCCTGCTGGACAGAGGGAGCAAGTCAGAGAAGGGAAGTAAAATGGACTTATACATGTGTGCATGCACACACGTCTCTAAGCAGCCTCAGTTTCTAATTTATAGCTGATTTACCATGTTAATAGACTAAATTTAACATTGACTCATTACTGAAGGGTATATACGTAAGTTATAAACATGAGACACATGACTCCAATGCAAACAGAACAGCTTGTGCTCAATTTGCAATCCAATGCTTAAGAAGGAATACTTACTACTGTTTTAGTACTACAGTGGAAGGTTGCTTGCTTGTTATCCAGTGCAGTTACTGCATTATCTATACAAAGATGAAAATCATTCTACTTTATTGAGTTTTAGAAGCATGGGTTGAGAGATATTACTTTTCAAACATAACAAAGTCTTCCTGTTCTGTAAGAATATTTTGTCATATTAAAAAAGCATTCCTCCGGAATAGCCATGGCAAACTAATTATGCCATATTGGACAATTAGTAGTGTGGTGGTAATCAATCACCTGGGTTCTGCCACAGCAGTGCCTCCTTTCCAAGACCCCCCATCCAACTCTTCAGTACAACAAAGCTCACCCACCAATACCAGGCTAAATCTAATGGGTGTTCCTGAAGCGAGACACCATTAAGAGTCTTGGACCATAACTTATGCCCCTTCTGCCAACAGACCCTCCCAACTGCTGCGGCTCAGAGTCAAACAGACATATTATGATGTCCCTCCCCAAAAAAGGTGGAACACAGAGAAATGACACAGCACATCTGAACAGAAGGCAAGCCTAAGGACCCTGTTCAGTAGGCAGCTTACTATATGAGCAAGAGAACGTGCCCCCCAAAGAAAAGGGCCCATATCCAATGAGCACAAAGTACTAATAGTCCACCAAGAACAGAGGTGCCAACATACAGCCTGTAGATCAAAGGTGGGTCATCCAGCCCACAGGCCAGGTCACTGTGATGGTCAGAGCCCCTGCTGCAGAGCTCAGGATAGTGATGCTGGCCCTAAGGAAGTTCTAGGATCACCTTAGGAGAAACCATGTCCTGGTCCAATTAGCCATGGGCAACTGGAGCTTAACCCTCCATGCAAAGTGATTGAAATAATGGAATGAGCAAAAATTAATACATTAAGAACATTATACAAGTTGTTTTGGTTAGTCACTAGACTAGAGCATAAAACAGCCAAGCTACTACTCCAAAGAAACGGGTGCCACTGGGGACAGATGCTACCTCAGATGGAAGAGCATCTAACTTTATGCATTCTCACCTCTTCCATTTGTAGAGAAAGCAGTTCAGGAGATGAGAAGCAGCAAAAGGTAACAGTTCCTGTTGCACACCTGTATGATTTCATGGATTTGGCATCAGACCTCTTACCCATCTGTCAGCAAGACTAAACTTTTTTTTTTAAATCAGAGTCCTGTCTTCCATCTAGATACAGTTATTGCAAAATTGACAGAAAATGAGGGGCATTGGTCAAGCTGAACTTTCCACCAAGATGACCAAGTCTAGTGTCCTTAGTTTTAAAGGTCTACCTCTCCAGCTGGCCTGGATTAAGCTCAGAGCAAACAAAACAAACGCATCATCCCACCAACCCTCCTCTCACTCAGCAAATGATCCTGGATTTCTAGCTATTTTCTGGTTTTTGAAGGATTTTTAGACAAAGATCTTAAGCCCAGCACTACAGCATACCACGCCTGCCATGAATAGTATCTCACACACAAAAGATCTTGGCTGAAAATCATCAAGTATTAGAATAACTCAGAATAATCAGACTAACATAACTAATGATCACTGTTTTTCCCAACTGTAAATTTGCTCCAGATTTGGAAGTCTGGGTTGGCCCACACAGTTGTTTATGCATGAAGATGAAATTATTTCCTCTTAGTTAAAATGACATAAACACTATGTGGTAGGCATCTTCTCTCTTTTCTTCCAATCAGTCCAAAAGAGGAACCCTGGACACTCACAAAAGGAATTAGATGCATGTTAATACCTGTTCAGTTTCTATTTGGAACAAATGTGATAAAGATGATAATTTCATGGGTCAGGAGGCCTGGCGAACCTTTTTTTTCTTTTTTAATGGAGCTGTTGTTTTGAAAGCTATGGTCATGGACACTGACTAGGTCCAACAGGTTGCCCAATAATGCTTAAAACATAAAGAAAAAGTAAATTGACCTGTAGGTTGTTTAGCATAGAGAAAAATCCAAGTAAACCATTCATTGCTGGCATGTTAACCTATTCCTACAGGCTTACAAAGAAAGGATGCCATACATTTGTGCTATTTGACAACACATACAACCCCAAAACAAATTTATTTCACTATTTTAGTATTCCTTGATTATTTTGGATTTCTGTTAAGTCTGCCAGTGGAAATACCATTGACAGCAAACCTCAGTGCATGACAAACAAATTTCTAGTTTAGTTTTTTCCTTTTTGCACACAGATAAAAAAAATATTGAACCAGTGTTCTCTGCAAAGTCATCATCATTTGTACTTCATAGGACAAAGTATATGTATATGAATAGGCTCATATAAACAATCGCTACAGATGCAAGAGCTAAATAAAATAAAGATGCAACTGAAACAATGCCTGTGCCTGGTCAGTATAAAGGATCCAGAATGAGTCTTGGAATACTTTTTCCTTTGAAAAGGAGTTAATATTTGACCAAGTGCGGAATTACAGTCTTGTTTCAAAAAGCACACATGCATATGCACATTATACTTGAGAGCACCTGTAGTCCTATTTTACTAATGAAAAACAAGGTTTTAATGTGACTGAAAAAAGCATTTCCAAACTATTGCAGGTACTTCTACATAAAAACTATTCTCTCTCTCTATTCCCTCTTCTCCTCACTAAGTACATCTTTTAGAATTTTCCTTTGTCTTTTCATTTTCAGGATCTAGTCTCAAAAACATTTATCTATCATATGAAACGTAGTTAAAGTTGAGCAGGCATTTTTTTTTTTTTCTAAATACTTACTTGGTTCACTTTTTCTGTTATTATGAGTTTCTTCCAAAGGAAAAGATTGCATAGCTGACATAATCCTCTGAGCTATATTTGATAGAGGCGCCTTACAAAGATCACATCCTACATACTCCTTGTAATGCTCCATATTTCTGATTAATCCTAAATATAAGATAGAGGAGCATTATACAACAAACTTCAGGACTATGGAAATCAATATCGATTGCACAAATCAGTAATAAAGATACCTGCCTAGCACACCAAACTGATCTAGACTTTAATGCTAGCCACCAAAGCGATTTCCTCGTACTATGCACACACAATTTATCGAAGGGTCACTTACTAGTATCAGCAAAGGCTGATTAAGACAGAGCTGTCCAAGTGGCAGCCCACAAGAGATTAAATGGTGGCCCTGGAAACCAGGGACTGAGCAGTGTCAGTGCTCATTCATTTCCCTCTTCCCCCACACAGATTCAGGGTCTTCAGTCACCACTGCCAACTCAAACAACAGCCGAAGCGGGGAGGTGTGGGGAGGAGCAGCAGCATTCAACACAGCAGCTCCACCAGTCACACCAACAAGATGCAGCTAGATGTGTTGTCAAGCTCAAGAAGCCCAGAGCTAGGTCCATCACAGGGGCCAAATAAACAGCACAGTCTTGATTTAAGAAAATAAGCAATGAAGCATATTTGCAGGGGTGGGAAACACTACACAAGTTTCATACGGACTGCCAGCAGATTTTCGAAGTAGTGATATCTTTTAGAAGAGGTTCTCAAACTGTGGTCCGTGAGCTCCATTCAGGCGGTCCACAGAAAGGTGACCCAAGGCTAAAGTTGACAAACATTACACCCGACTTCCCAGAACTTTGCTCAAAAAAACAGGCATATCCATTGCATTAGAAAGGTAAGACTACTGCTATTAAAATATGAGCTGTGTGCTTTGATTTGTAGAACAAAAAAAAGTTTAAGTGGTCAGCCAAGACCCTCAGCAATTTTCAAGCAATCTGCAAAAAAAAAAAAAAAAAGTTTGAGAACCATTGCTTAAGAAGGTATTCAACTACACAGTACCTTTATTAAGGCCCCTGCCACATACTGCATGTATGGTACAAATACGAAGTTACAAAACACCTCACGTTTTAGCATTTTTCCCCAATAGCAGACATTAAACAGAGAAGACTGCATTTTCTGTACTCTATTAGTAATATAACCAACTAAGCTGGGGGGCCAGTGGGACAGAAGTGTTGCGGGGGGGAAAAGAAACCCAAAACAGTGTGCTAGGTTGTCAAGTGGAAAGTTTTCAACAGTTTTAGAATTTAGTATTGTACTAAACTCAGGTACTCCAAGATTCATAGAGTGCCTGAATCTTACCCAATTCCTAACTTTGTATTCAAATATCTTTCAGTTGACCAAAAGTCACATCATAACACCTGAACAGAATGTAGGTACCAAATTTGAAGAGTCCTTCGCTGAGTCAGTAAAAAAAGTTTTATTGCTGAAACCTATAGATTAAGAGTCAAAACATTACACATTTTATTCTGAGCAGTACACAAGGCTAAAAATGAACTCTAAAAATATCTAGATCATCAGAGCTTATGGTATTTCAAAGATTCAAGCTATCAACTGGAATTTAACAACTGCATTTCAATATGTTCCTCTACATACTCATTTGCCACCACTGGCTCCTTTCACCCTGCATTTGTCTGATATTTCCAAAGGAAGGTTCTATCACCAATCAGACAATATTTTCCCTTCTTTGCAGTGAAATATTCATCCTACTTCATGACTGTAGACAGATGGTTTTGAACAAGGATCTGCAAACATTTATTTCTATTCGCCATTTTTAAACTTAGAAACCAAATCTCTTGGCTTTTTAAATACTTGACTGTCAGTTAGATAACCTAAGCTGGAGAGAAGCATAGGCAAATAATTGCCAACATGCTAGAAAACTTTCCATTAATGACTCCAATATGTTAGCTAAGCAGCAGTTAGTCCATCAGATAGTCAAGTCCTGATGTTAGCTTTTTACAGCCAACAAGTCTGTATGGCAGGACAGTGCTTGAAGAACCTTATAAATCAACACAATAGGATGGAATATATACACAAAAAGTCACCCCTACCTTCAAGTAAAAAAAAAAAATGCAGCTGTTTCCAAGTGCCCCCTCCCATTTCTTTACTTATTTTTAATATCTTAGGCAGAAAGTAGGGTTTGAGAGTAGTTGTAGCTGTGATGGTCCAAGAAATATACAATCAAGGCTTTTTTATAACACATTTTATTGGATCAACTGTACAGTATGAAAGGAAGGGCACTTTGTGTCTGAAAGCTTGTTTAACATCTCTCCCAATTACACAATTAGTTGAGTAAAAGATATGTCACCAGAAAAAGTCTTGGCTCTCTATGGTAGCACTGAAGTGATGTTGCCATGATGGTCCAGAAAATATGCAAGCAGCAAGAATTTTTGTAGGCAATATGTTTTATTGGATCAACTGCATGGTTAGGATACCCAAAACCTTGCCTGTCAATCACAGTACCCTAACTACCCAAAACCTTGCCTGTGTATCCGAAACATTTAGCTGGTCCAATAAAAATATCACCCACAAGAATTTCAAAATATGTCTGCCAGTGTTATTAAAGGATTAAAGACATCATAACAGAATCCAGACTAAGCCAAAAAGGAAATAGTTTGCTGTAGAATAAACTGCCAGAACCCAAACATCCCTAAAAAGACCCTAGTCAAGAAGATTTCAAAATTCTTGTGCTTGAAGGGTCTGCACCACCACAAATGAAGAGGAGGAGCAGGCACACAACTCAGGGAATTCTGGACAGTCTGGGAAGAGAGAGAGATGCATACATCCTGATCTATGCTCAAACATTTAGTTATATCTGTCTCTTAGGTTTAAAAGATAAGTTATTATAAAATTTTACTCCTAGGAAAATTGCATTTCAGAAGTATTATACTATATTCAGTCCTTAAATTCCAACCTTAAAAAGTTCCAACCTTTAAAACACTTCTTCTGTACTAACTCTGCAGATCGCAAAAGAAGAATCTTTCACGGTGACTGAAAGCAAAGGGAGGGGGAAAAACGGATTCACGAGTCTTCATTTTGCTCTGCTCAATAACCTAGTGAAAGGCAACAGTGTAGCAAAAATCAATCTGTGAAGTAACTCATGTAGATACTCAACCTGTTCCTTCTAATATTTCAGTTTGAAGGTTTGAATCTGTATGCCAAAACTGTATTTCAAAAACCTGTGAAAACAGCTGTTTGTTCTCAGTAACAGTGATAGACAAATCATTTATCTAAAGTTTGTTTTTTATGCTGTAGATTCATAGACAGACAGCCATACTAAATCATTTCCATGTCAAAACAGAAGATCAGTTTATGATTTCATTTTCAGGCATCTCGCATTTAATCCTCTAGAGACCAATAGTTTGGGCCTTAGACTGGTGCTGTACATTCTCCACAACTTCTTTCAAATGATCTTCATCTTTAAAGAAATATACATATAGTTTTCTTTCCAATTGTAGCAGTGAATTGGTCTCTAAAATTTTTCTCTTGGCTTTCACATCAGCAAGAAGATCCATAATAAGCTGATTGAGTTTATTTAAATGAACTTCTAGATTATGAAACTGCTCAGTTAGCTCCTAAAAAACAAAAAGCAAAATTTATTACATTTGCATCACTGATTCGCTGTTTAACTACAAATGAAAACTGTTTTTAGCTTTTTGAAGATACTTTGTTAATGGACTTGTGTGGGGAAAACTTTACAAGAAGAGAAAATTATGTACTTGTTTTCATTTGGGCCAAACGTAATGCCATTATTCACATCTAATACCACAAGTACGTCCATTGCATTAATACAACATTAAGCTTTTATTTAGGCTACGTAGGGGTAACAGGATCTGTCCCTTTATTTCATGTTGGATCAAAATGGCATAATACTTTATTCACTTTTAACACACATTAATTCAAAGCAGCAGTCAAACAAGAATACTCAAACTAAAACCAAGTTATTGGCACCTGGATTTCTCTCCCCCATTTTCACTGCTTACAATGAAATGAACTGCCTTAGGGAAGAAACAGCCGTTAACTTCCATCACAAAAGACCAAGGAAACAGACATCCCTCGTCACGCCACAAATGCCCAAAATTTGTGGCCATGACAAAGGTGGTGTCAATTTGTGCCATAATTTAGCAGCAGGTTTTTATTTTATGGCACAAAAGCACCAGCAGCCCAGAGCTACCCACACTATCCAGTCGCCCCATGGATAGAGGGGCCCCATCCTGTGCACCCCAGGAATTCCCAAGCAAGATCTGGCCCCTTGAGCCCTGCCCAGCTTCCACTGCTTACCAAGACACATCCCCAGGACCCTCAGCATGTGTCTTGGTAAGTGAGGGAAAAGCAGGGAAAAAACAAAAACAAACAAAAAAAAAAGACAGCACCAGGCCCCTTAAGCATTGGGAGAACATGTCACCTGTTGTCCTGCCCATTAATGTTGCAGGAAAACACGATGTGAGTTTTGCTCAACAAAGCAGATAAGCTCTGCTGGCACACATCCTGGGACACAGCTGATCCCCTTCATTTGAGGGCATCTAATCTATTTCTAGCATACTGTAAACCAGTTTGTCATTGGATTATGAGCATCTACAATTACCTACTAAAGGTGCACCAATACATCAGTGCCATATCAGACTGGAACTGATAAAAAGAAAATTAACATTATCGGCTTTTTTTTGCCTGGTGTAACTGATAATGTTAACGAATAAATATAATATGCCTTCTAATAGGGGCCCCCAGATGCCATGTGCATGTGCACAGCTACACGCATGCACACAGCTGCATGTATGTACGTGGCCCAGAATACAGCTGGGCAACATAAAGAGCAGAGCCCTGCATGCAAGTCAGCAGAGAGGAAGGGGCATGGGGCAGTGAACGGGCAAACTGGGACACCCACAATGATGGAGGGAGTAGGACATGAGGTGAGGGCAATGCCCAGCCAGGGCCAGCTCAGGGAATGGGACAGAGCTGTGGCCAGCTCATCCAGGGGGCACAGGGAAGAGGCCGGGATGACTCAGTTCTGTCAGCCAATACTCTCTGGGTCCTACCTCGGAACCAGTAACCTAGCTACCGAACTGTAAAGTAGTCGAGGCCACAAAGTTGTGCCTCCTGCTGCCAGGCAGGCAGGGGACATGTGGCCAGAGCAGGGTGCCCAGGGCAAAGGCAGCAGGTTGGAGAGCCCCAGGGGCACAGTAGGCAACCCGTATCTGCCCTTGACCTGCTCTGGTTAAAAGCGTCCCCATGCTTAAAAATTGTAGCGCTTAAACTAAAACTAATTTGCTGAGCTTTAGTCCAAGTGCCCCACCACCATTTTTAAATTCCGGGATGCTGATCCCCTGGATGAGGTACCCGCAGCTCTGCCCCACTCCCTGCCCCAGTTCTGGTTCCCATTCACTATCCTTGTCAGGTAGCGCCCCCAGTTCCTGCCCCACTCCCTCCCTCATCGTGGGGGCCTCAATCTGCAGCCCCCATTCCCCTTCTCCCCCACGTCCCCTCCCCTCCACAGACTTACCTGCAAGGCACTGCTCTTCCTGCTGCCCAGTTGCATTCCTGCAAATTGGCTATCGGATTGGTATCAGCCAGTATGCCTGGTTAATAATTGGCTTTCAGTATCAGCCAAGAAAATCTTTATTGGTGAACCCCTAGCATCTACAATATTCTTCTTTAAAAAGATTTACTTTCAAGAAAATAAAGCAGCTTTTCATTTTTGTGTGATGTGCCACTGCACAATGTTCAAGTGTGTTATAATCTATTTAATCAAGAAAGCACTGAGGAATATAGGGTCTCTATCACAACAATTTTGATACTGGTCTATCAGTTTATTTAAAAAGCCAAAACAAGTTGCATTAGTTATAGGTTTTCATTCCCTCTTAAAGTTATTTTTGAGGTATGAAAATATTCAGAGTTCTATAGCAATGCCTTTCTACATATACAGTATGTCACTTAAAATCCATCCATCCACAAGCTCCAGGCTAATATGAAATAAACTGAATAATAAGATAGAGTATACAAATTGTAAAGATTTTTTGTTTTGTTTTATTTTAAGGTAGCAATACTAAAATTGCTAACAAAGGATCTGGAGAACTGGTATGACTTCTGTAATACTCAGAGGACACACCTACCCATGCATTAAAAAACCTTTACATAAAGGATATGCCAATTGTCAAACTCCTATGACTAATGGCATGACCCAGGAGATACTTACCCTTGAAAACAACTATTTTTGCTTCTTTTTGCATGGACTAGCCAAATAAAAAATGGTAATTCCACATTCATACCTTGGCCTTACATATGAAATGCAAGATTAATAAAGCATTAACTGAAGAAGTCTACTATAAGGACCTACCCGATTACTAAGCAAGATTTGATTTCCACCACAATACAAAGAGTCATGAAGGGTATCTAAAGCAGTATCCAAACTGGACAGAAAAAGAGACTGCTCTTGAGAAGACACTGCTAATTGATCTTGCACTGAAACAGTGTCCTGCTTTAATTTCTGAGCCTCGTGTTCCAGACCTTCATGTGTTTTAAACAATTGTTGTTTCTGATCCTCCCCTTCCAGGAGATGGTATAATCTACAAAAAAAAAATCTCAGTTAGCATTCTGACCATCAACTAATCAATCAAAAGAGTACTTCTGTATACAAGGAAAAGTCAGAAGAACTGGATTTTTTTTAAACTAAAATAAGAGAGACTGGGAGATTTCATAACCTTCAAATACAAAAAGAATTGTTATAAAGATGAACAGCTATCGGGTCTATGTGGGACAAAACAAGTAGTAACTGGCTTAAAATGAAACAAGGAGTATTTAAGTCAGGGGCAGCCAATTATTTGACCCCACTCCCCACAACAGTTCACCAAAACTCCCTATGTGGCCTTCCAGCCCACATAATTGCCCACCCCTAGGCAGAGAGAACAAAAGTAAGGGGAACTGAACCTTTGTTCCCCCTTCTCCCTGTACCACTCCCCCACCCTGAGCCCCAGCACGTGGCCAGGCCAGTGCTGTGCTGTATTCCCATGTGCTGCCTCAGGACACACAGATGCAGCTCCTGCTGGACCCGGCTTCCTGGCTGGGACCAGGACAGGGGAAGAGGCTGCAGGGAGAAAGGGACTGAGACCTGCAGGTTATCCAGAGCTGACCAGACTGGTGCCATGCTGTTTTCCTCCTTCTCCCTGCACTCCCCACCCCACCCCGAGTCCCCAGTACACAGCCAGCCAGTGCTGCACTGTGTTCCCATGCGCTGCTTCAAGCCATGTGGGTGCAGCTGGTGTGGCTCCTACCCAACCCAGTCGCATGCCAGGGACTTGGGGTTGGGCACGGCAGCAGTACGCGGGAACACCATGCACATGTGCAGCAGAACTTGCCAAGGTGGCAGCTGTCCCCATGGCACTCCACATGGGGCTAAGCCCCACCCGGAGCAGTCCATATCATGCTCCAGCCCACACCTGCTGGCCCTAGCCAGCACACAACTTCTGGTGGAGTTGTTCCTAGTAGGGCTGCAACCAGCCAGGCTCACATTACCACTAGGAGGCAAGGGGTGCAGTCGGCTGGGTGCTGCTCTGCTGTCACATAGGGAACAGCCCCACCGGAAGCTTTGTTTGCTGGCAGGGCCCAAGCCAGCAGGGCTGTTCTGCTCCCCTTGCCTCCAGCTGTGGCTGATGGTTCTGCACCTGCCGCACCACTCTGGGCAGGCAAGCAGGTAAGCTTTAGCTGCACAGCTCCTGTCCAGTGCGTGGACCTCTGGCTCCAACTCCAGCTCCCAGCCATCTTCCACCCACTCCACCCACCCACAGGAGGCTGCCAATTGTGTTGGGTGGGTGGAGCAGGTGGAAGGCAGCAGGGAGCTCCATACACTGGGCAGGAGCCACCCAGCTAAAACTTCCTGCCCACAGTGATGTGACAGGGGCAGGAGCAGCCAGAGGGGAGAGGAGGGGAACAGAACAGCTCTGCCAGCCCAAGCCTGGCCAGCACACAGCTACCAGCAGAACTGTTCCTGGAGCAGCTGCAGCCAGCTGGGTTACGCTTTGCTCCCCTTGCCTTGTGGTGGCTCCTCCTCTCACTCCTGCCCCTACTGTGCCACTTTGGGCAGGCAGGCAGGGAAGAACCTTCAGCTGGGCGCTTCCAGCTGGAGGTGAGGGGAGCAAAGCAAAGCAACCGCCGGCCAGCTGCAGCCACAGAGGGAACAGCCACGCTAGAAGCTATGCACTAGCCAGGGCCCAGCCTGGCGAGCGCCACCAGGAGCATGCAGCGGACTGCCCTGGCAGGGGTGAGTGGGGCTCAGCCCCATGTGAAGCACTGCAAGGGCAGCTGCAGACCAGATCCAGTCACTTGGCAACCTGGATCTGGCCTGTGGGCCATAGTTTGTCCACCCCTGTTCTAATATATACCATTATTCCCAGAAATGGTAGCAACAGCATCATGGATTTGGCCTTAAACATTAATACCATCCACAATGCCTGACTTAAGGTTGTAACGTGAGAGAACGGACAGAGGGACAAATTGTTTTTAGTTATCATTACATCTTAAAAAACAGCACAAGCAAGTGGCAGGTCTTTCATTCCATGTGTGTACTCCAGATGAGTTACAGCTTCTCAGTAAGCTGCTGCAAGAACTTTATTATGGAAGCTATTAGACAATCTAACCCTAGGGGTCTCGTACAGGTCCTCAGTAGTACTTTAGAGATCTGAATTCATAACACTTACCTGTGAGAGGCATCATCCCTCGAATCAATCGTGTTCCTTGGCAATGTATGCTGAGATATAAGAGGGTCAGACATCATCTCCAGTCTCTGCTCCAATGCTTTACTATGCTGTTTCAGATCTTGTATCAGTTTTTCAAGGTGACGATGGATATCACGATGTTTCTTCAATTCAATTTCATAAGCTAGCTGAAGAAATTCAAATGATGCTTTCTGTTTCATCAGTTGGTCACATACACGATCTTGTATTGATGTATAGTAATCTTGTCGAGCAATCTGAAGATCAAAATCCCCTTTCACCACAGGCATATTCAATAGTTGTGCATTCTCCTTCACGAGGGCAGGCAGAGTTTCATTGTTTATTTGAGTCAGATGTTTTTTTATTGATGAAATTTCACTGTTTAAGCTAGAGATTCTAGTCTCAAGGTGTTCTTCTTCTCCAATAATCTACATAAATGCACAAAAACGTTTCAAAATGGATTGAGGTCACCTAACATTTTTTAGTCACCCTTCTCCCTAAAGTTTTCCAGTTCCCCAAGGAATCTAGAGTTTAATACAGTGTTCATGCAGTTACCAAGGTAAGGGAAAGCTAGCTTACAACAAGGTTCAAAACATTAGTAGTATTTGAGAACCATGCTTTTGGTAGATTTTCCAGGGATGCATTTATGCTAAGTGGCCTCTAAAGATGTCATCCTAAATTATGCTAACTTCTTTGTTCTGCTACTAAAAACAAGAGACTTCAGTAATAATAAGCATAAAGATTCCTATTCAAGAAATAATGTGCTTTTATTTTTTTTAACCAGCCAAGTTGACCATAGATGATGGGTCTGGACGACTCTTTTACTAAATATAAACCAGCTATAGTACAAGGTTTTAAGCTTTATGACATCAGCAATACATTTTCCACTAGATTAGAAGGACAGAAAAAAGAGGGAATGAAAGAATAAAGCCTACCAAAAATACTAGTCTCAATGGCAGTACTTTTTAGTAGTTACAAAAATCTGTCATTTCCTCACTCCTTTGCATGTAGTACTTTCTATCAGTAGGATGGCTCCGATTAAGTGTCTCTATGCTCACAAGCCATCCAGACTCCCTTGGACCCTTTCACAAAAGCATCCAACAAGCACCCAAACCTGACTCCTCTCAGGCATCCAGGCTTCTCCCCCACCCCCAGAAGAAAGAGTCCATGATGACAATTTAGGAAAGAACCACATAACACATAAAATATGCTGATTGCTCTGATCAGGACAAAGAGACAATACAAAAAAGCCCCTCCTATTTTGACTGAAACAAACCTGTATGTGACTGAAGGAACATAATTTGCAAACTTGCTTTCTGTGTCCTGACAATGAATCCCAGATGACTTTAAATTTAAGTTGACCTCCCAAATAATAATTGTTATAAATTTTCCATGTATAGAATCTAAGTAGGGAAAAGTCATCTTAAATTCATCTCCTACTCTGCTGTGGTAGGAAAGCAGCAGCAGGGGGCAAAGGATCAGCTCCACCCTACCATGAACCCATCTGCCCCTCCATGCCCGTGTTTGCTCCCCCTGCCTGCCCCTGCCCCTCCCCGCCAGCCCTTTAACCTCTGTGCCTGCCTCCCCACAAAGGTGCTGCCAACCCAGCTAGGGAAATGAGGCAGCAGCTCCCAGCCAACTTAGGGTTGGACAGACTGGAGCCAGAGTGAGGAAAAATAGAAGGAATAAGCATAGATAAAAGGCACAGAGGGCAAAGGGGGAGGGGGTGCAGGAAAGACTGCAGACTCCCCAACAAAGCCTCAATCACATGCCCCCTCCCTCCCCTGACAAATGAGCTATTCCAGCCCAGGGCAGGTAGCAGCTCAGCTCTGTCTTCAGTACCAAGCTCAGGGCCAATTGCAGAACTGAACTTCTGCCTGCCCCAGGCCAATATTCAAATCCAAGATGAGGCTTCATCCCATGCTGATTTTGGGGAGATGGGGGAACCTCACCCTGCATTCATATAGATAATGGTAAGTGGGGCACAGTAGATGTTAAAGTTTATGTTAAGTAACAATAAGGGCACAAACACATTTAATACTTGATTTAGCTAATACTCAATAAAAACAGACTGAGTTTCCACATCTGGTATATATAATCAATGGAATACTATATACATCATGAAGGGATTGAAAGCCTACTACATAATTTAGATTAACTGATCAACTGAAATAAGCAGGTTACAATGAAAATTTAAAAATAAAGTACTAAAAATTTTTGCTAAACGTGGTACATCTAAAAAGACAAAGAGAACTAACAGCGCCATTACAGGCAGTTTCTGTAAGCATGCTAGAATCTGATGCTATTTCACTGTAAATATTAGATGTGGGTAAACAGGAATACAACTTTAAATTCAACAGTGATCCTTTTATTAAAATTAAAACCAACATACCCATGCTTGTTTTCCACACAGTTCTCTAACAGCTTACCTTATTCTTTATGGATTGAAGAGTGTTATCTGCCCACTGTAGAGCTGAATTCATACTTAGGTCATTAGCTTTCAGTTGAATTAGCTGATGTTGGGCACAAATATATGCCATCTGCAACCTAATCATCTCGCATCTGTCCTCACAAACTTCATTATGCTCATCAGAAATGAACGGGTTGCTTATATCTACAAGTTGAAAGTTTTCTTCCTTTGAACTTTCAACCAGTTCAGATATACCCTGAAAAAACTGTTTTTTTGTGTAGGCAGTAAGTGCTGCAGTACTTTGTTCTTCCTGACACAAATATTCATCCAAGGCACATTGGGACAAAAACACTGGATGAGAACCTATTCCTTGTTCTGAATCTGAAGCAGTGAAGAAAGAAGTCAATTTCCTAACTCCTTCAGTAAGAGACTGAAGCTCATTATTAATTTTATTATTTGCCACACTGAGAATTCCTTGTTTCTCTTTCAAAGTTTTAACTGCTTCTTCTGCTTCATCATTCAATTTTAGTAACATATGGCTGTTGCTGGAAGCCATCATCTGAAGCTTATTTCGACGATGAATTTTTAGGTTTTTCATCTTTTGAAGAGCTTGCAACTCATCCTCTAATTTCTGAAGTTCTCCTTCTTCCTGGCTATTGGCCTTTGAATCCAAGGGCTTACAAGTTTTAAGAACTTCATCCAAAGCTTTTTCTTCTAAAACAGGTTTACCAGATTTAAGAAGAGTTTTAAAATCTTGCAGTTCCTTTTCGGATAGCACATGATGCTCATTCACATTTCCACAGAACCACTCCAAAAATGACCTCTCTTCCATGGTCTCAAACAGCCAATCAAAGTCTTCTCCATTAAGCTCAGCAGCTTTTGGATAACCAATTGCCTTGAGCCTTTCCACAAACTGATTCCCACAGTTCATGATTAAAAACCAAATTGTGTGTGTTATCTACCAGCAGCCTTAAAAAATATCCAAACAAAAGGAAAACCTGGAGCCTGCCTGCTATCCCAATGGTAAACACAAAGAAAAAAAAACGTTTAAAAGACAGACAGGTATTTTTACAAGTCATTCTGCACAGAATAAAACAAGCAACAGATTACCTAAGAAAACAACCTACACATAAATATATACAAGTCCCCCAAAGTATACAAAACTAGATTAGACAGTCATGAAACAGCAAAATTGGTTTCTAGTAGGGCTGTCAATTAATCACCATTAACGCGCATGATCAACACATTAATTGGTTCTTGCATTAATTTTTTGAATGGGTTAATCACTCTTATGGGTTCTGGGAGCCGGCACCCAGGCTCCACTCTACTACCTCTGAGCCAGCCAGCAGGACAGCAGTGGCAGCGCAGAGGACCACCGGGTAGCCCAGGTGTGGGCTCCAGGCAGCTACAGCATGGAATGGGGGGCCGCACAGAGACACAAACAGCCTGCACGCCACTTGTAGAGCACTCCAAAATCCAGAACACTTGAAATCCTGTCACTTTTTAAGAACACACTGGGCAGTAGCAGCCATCATATGCAAGCTTCTCCCTTCAGAGACTTGGGGGGTAGCAGCGAGCAGGCTGGGGTTGGCATGCTGCAGCCATCCAGCACAGTGCGGCTGCTCCCCACCTGCTGGCTGCTACCCCCAGTCCCGGGAGGAAGAAGCTTGCTGAAATCCTGGAAGGAAAGTACGTGTCTTCCTACTTTCTAGAGTCAGACATCACACTGAGGAAACAGGCAAGTACAACGTTTTACATTTCTCTCTAAAAAAAAGTTGCTTTTTCACTTGTGTGTGGCCTGCAAGTCATTTTTCCTATGGGTGTGTGGCCTGCGAAAGGAAAAAGGTTCCCCACCCCAGTCTAGACCCTGCATAAGTCTGCTGTCAGCCCTGACACAAGACCTACCAAGCCAGGAAACCTGGGCAGCCACATCCCGCTTCCACAACAGAGAAATCCCGCGCAGGGCCACGGCCCTCGCTGCAGAGGGAGGCAACACGCCGCGGCTCGGACCCGTACGACCACGGGGCAACATTCCTGACTGACCCCACGTCTGTGGATCCGACCCTCAGCGGAGGGACAGGGCCCGGCCTTGGCCCCAGCAGCAGCACTGGCCAGGCCTCGTCAGCCCCCAGCCAACCCCCAGGGCCCAGACCCCCCAGACGCGGGGAGCAGAAAGCGGGGCGGGGTCCCCCCGCAGCTCCCCCTCGGCGCAGGCCGCCCCGCGCAGCCCAGGGGTCGTGAGTGACAGTCAACCCCCCCGGCTCGGCCCGACTCACCGCGCGCTCGGCGGACGCAAGATGGCGGCTGGGCGCCGGTAGCAGCTCAAAGCGCGCGCCGCCACCCTCAAACGGGGCAGGGCCAACGTTCACCGGCTCGCTTAGCCCCGCCTCCTCGTAGTGGTGCTGGGGAGAGAACACGTGATCCCTGCCGGCAATGCTGATTGGATGATGGCCCTCCACGTGTTTCCCCGGATCAGAAGGGGAGACTGCACGGCACTACACAACCCAGCATGCAACGCGCGGCCGAGGGGGCGGGGCGGGACGGGGCGGTCTGCGCCTGCGCTCCGTATTCCCCCCTTACCGGTGGCCGACTACAGCTCCCAGCGTGCACCGCGCCGGGAGACCCACCGGGGGGTGGGTCTGCGGCCAGGCCGCGGGGCGGGGTTGTGGCGCCCCAGCTCCGCCTTAGTTCGGCTGGGGCTTGCTGGTGCCTCGGCCTGGGAGGTTTCCTCGGGCAGGCCTCTGAGAAGGGGAGCCTCTCGGGGCCGCTGCCTGATCCGTTGCTCTGCTTTCTCTCCCTTCCCCTGCCCGATCGCCTGCTCTGCTTTCTGCCCCGTGTCCTGTCTGCCTCTGCGCTGCCTGCTCCCTCGCACCCGGGGCTGCTGGAGCCCGTCTTCGCCTCTAGGCGCAATTCACGGCTGAGGAGAAGCTTGGGAGGTTTTTCTCCCTCCCGCCCGCAGCTAACGCTTGATGCTGCTGCTGCCCCACTTCTTTTTTTTTTAAAGGAAACTTTTTCATGTCCCAGGTCAAATTAAACAGATCGGGTCCAGATCAGTTTGAATCATTCAGGAGCTATCTTTGGCCCTGTTACCAGCCAATATCCTCCCCCCCAACCTGGGGCTTCAGATGCTTCCAAATTCTTCGGCGGGCATCCAGCGTGCAGGCCCAAGCCTGGCGGTTTGGGGTTTGGATGCCCCTGTGTTTCGCTTGCCCTCAGCTGTATGGCCACAGAAGCAAGGTAGGGAGGAGTCTCCCATTTCCGTAAGGTTGGCGTGTAGCCAAGATCCTCCAGCTGGAAGCTGGCTTGTGGGAAGCTAACTGTGATGCTCTCATAGGGACTCGTGTCTTCAAGCAGACAAAGGTGCACCCTCCACTACACAATGCCGTTTTAATTGCATTACCTTGGTCAGGGTATTTCCCCTGCCACCCGTCGTGGTCATGGTACACCCCCTGCCAGGTCAGTATGTCCGGCCAGGCCCTGGCACACTGTCCCCCCCAGCCCTGTGCAGCGCTGGAGGTCCACAACCAGGTGTTCATACAAGGCCTCCTATCCCCCGGAGCACCTTTCCAGTCACAGGCCCAGCACCTCTTCCCAGGCAGGTTTTGGAGCTGGGAGGAGAGCTTGGGCCATGACACCGCCAACAGGGTGCTCGGCATGGTTGCCCGCGTCAGGGCTGCTAAGTGTTGTTGGAGCATCTAAGGAGCCAACAGCTGTTGTTTTTGTTACTATGCTGCCATTTGGGCCTCTTGCTGGCAGTGCTGTGCTGCAGTCTGTGCCTTGTTCTGGCACCGTGATGCCAGTGGTAGTTGTCGTAGTCTGCAGCTGTTGTTACTGCTCCTTGGCTGCTGCCTACCATGCTAGGACTAGCACCTTGTTTTTGGGCCAGCAAAAAGGAAACCACCTTCATATTATATGTCCCTGGAGTGAACGAGGGTATTGTCCCATTAGCTCCTTTGCTTGAGAGTCGCGTGGCATTAAGCTGCAGACAAAATTACTCTGTTTCTAGGCCCAGAGAAGTAGTAAACTATGTTAATCTGAAGTCAGGCAGAAGGCAGGCCAGGGGGTACCTTAGAGGCTGAATGCCTCTCTGAATCATTTAGTCCAATGGTTCTCAACCAGAGTGTCAGACGCCGTGGGGTCTCTTGGAAGGGTGTGAGAAGATAAGCAAATAAATACAGGTTGAGGCTGGTCCCTTGCTGGCCAGTCCTGCACCCCCACTGCCCATCCCCTCTGCAAGGAGGAAAACAATGAGTTTTTGAAATTGGATGCTGCTTAGCTCACAAAAGCGATGGAGGGGTGCCTCTAGTGCCTGAACCACAAAAAAGGAGATAAGTTGCCCCTTTATTAACTGGCAATGCTGCTTATGTGCCATAAGGGCAAATTCAGAATGGATGCAAACAGGTGCACTTCCCTGGAGTCAGAGGAAACGGACTTGTTCACAATTCACACTTTTACCACTGCATAATATTGCCATTCTAATTCCAGTAAAGATTTCATGTGTGACATAGGGTTCATCACCATAGCCCCAGTCTGACAAGAAATATTATGGGGCCTTGTCACAAGACCTGGCCTTAATATACTTCGTTGCAAATAAGTTAATCAAGCATTTAAACAACAAAGGTCCCAGTCCTTCAGACAATTATAGATGTACTTAACTTTACTACCATGAGTAGCCAAATGATGGAACTGATTACAGTAATAAAATTAAGCTTATGCAGAAGTGTTTCCTGGATTGGGGCCCAAGAAAACAAGTAGCTGCCAACAGAGAAGGAATAAAATGTAACTGCAGAAAGCAGGCAGAGGAAGAATACTAACAAAATCATGTTGTGTGGGCATTAAATGGTTTGTCACATTCAAGGCAAAAAACAGATACACAAGTAAATTTCCAAACTCTTCTCAAACTCATACAAGAGTTGAGTGCATTTCTCAACTCTGCATGTGTATTTTATGCATGCAAGCAAGCCAGGTAGTTATAGGAAAAATTACTCACAGTTTTGCATATGCTAATTCATTGTTAGGCACAAAGATTGTCATAGACATAGACACGTACAGACATGAGACTGTACAACACATTTACAAATGTTGCAGGTAATTTTTGATGCTAGTAGAAAACAGCCACATAACAACACAGATATTGAGAAACCGTATCTTAAAATGTGTTTTAAAAGATTATTTTCAGCCTGGAAGGATGTACTGTTAATGTGAAAATAAAAAAAATATTTGAAATGGGCTTGGGCAGAGGTAAGCTTCTTTTCTTTTTTTCTATAGAACAACGTAGTGAAATCTAATTGTTGGTCCTCTGAACCATCCCTCACAAAGGTTCTCTAACATTTATTATTATATGTTGCACAGCCAAACATTCACCAATTGCTAGAAAGATTTCTAAATAGAATTTTTAAAATGTTTCTAGTTCAGCTTTTTAAAATGTGCTTTTAATCAGGTATTTTACAAATGAGGGACTTCCAGTGTATTAGAAAGAAAATGTGAACAGTATGTTTCCAAATATATGTATTTCAAAGAAAATAATCTGAATGATAGCAATCGACAGCAACTGAAACTTCAGGTATCCAAGAACATTTTTCTATATTATTAGGAGTTGTTTATTGATATGCCTTTCTTTCATTTTTACACCATTCCATTTCCGGTTTTTGACTAAGAATTTTCTTCCCTTCAAAGATCCAACTGAGTCAGTAAATACCTTAGTCCCTGCCAGATTAGAATAATGCCATGTACTCTGACCTTAAGGACCATTTGAAAACTTCAGCTACTGCAGAATGCAGCTGCCCAGTTAGGCACTGATCCCACAATGAGAAATTGCACAAAGGCAGACATCTGCAACAGTGAGAGCTCATTGGATGCTTAGAGATTCATTTACCAGTGCATCTCCCATGGAGCACATTACACGAGCACTCAATGGACTGCACTATTTCCAGGTGCATTTCTAGGTGCTGATTTTGATCTTTTAAGCCTTACATGATTTACTGAGCCAAAGAGTTTGTTCGTTTCCCTGTGTGCCATCCCAACAATTGCCATCATGCAAGGGTACACATTTTAATACTCTCCACATTCTCAGTGGATCCTTGACTCAGGAATTTGTTTTTCCTCTTGGGTCTAACAGAGTTTATGGTTTTAACCTTCAGGACATATTATAAGATCCAAACATTCATGGGGGGGTTTATTAGGGAGGTGGCTCAAGGGGCTGGAATGATGGTGTTTATTTTACTTTTATTATTCCCTAAGTTAATCAGAAATGTGAGACTTGCTAGAACAGCTAAAAAGCTGTTTAACTTTGATTTCACAGACATTAGGGGGCTAGAAGGGACCTTATGAAACCATTGAGTCCAGCCACAAAGGGAAGCAGGAAGCTCACTCAAGATGTAAACTGTCACCCCAGATGGGGCTTAGGAGGCCAGTGCATCCATTAGGCCACTGGGGCTCTGAATTTGTTAGCTGTTGTTTTTTTATAACTCTTGTATGAGTCTCACATTTCTGATATTTACAGCTTACAAACTGAAAGTAGATAGAAATAAATAGGTTAATTCATCCAGAAGCCATAACAAACTTTTACATTAGATCTGTAAAATAATAGACCATAACATCTATTATTCATGCTCCCCCATTCCGCTTGGAGCACAATTCAAAAGGTAGCTCACATTGTAAACGTGCTGAACAGTTTTTAGAGCTCACTATCTTACAGGCATAGAAATTGTCCTTGGGTTTGACCCACATAAAAAATGGCACTTCTTGCATGGAGACATGACACTTCCAACCATTACTTGGCAGGCAGTATCATGTGACGCTGCTTTTTCACCATCAGATGTCCTGTAAGAGCACACGTCCCAGCAGAGCTAGCAGTGGCCCAGTCTCCAGAGGTTCCTGGGGATTTCTCCTCCCAGAGGAAAGCTCCAACTGGCTGGATCTCACCTCCACCCTGTAGTGGGAACGACTGGTCAGCTACTAGTCTGGACTGCTCATCAGTTCTGTTGCTAACACTAAGATTGCAGCATGGACCCATAGTTTTCCTCACCTTACAGACCCTGTTTGCCCAGTGTTGGGCCCTCCTGACCCAGCTTTGTTGGTCAAGGCACAGAATGGGATATGTCCAAGCCAACTTCGCCATGAACATCTGAAATCTGTACAAGGTGACTCTTTTCTCAGGGGAGAGGGATGACCACATTGTGAGGACACAAAACAACACACCCTTGAATATGTCCAGCTTTTATCAATATCTCAATATCTCTTCTCTGCCAGCAGCTCCTGGTCTGATGAAACAAAAACCACATAGCAATGAAAGGGGTCCAAGGGCAAAGGTTCGGCCAGGGCACAGACAGCTAGGCCTGCAGGTCGGCTCTGAAGGA